CTTTTCCTCTTCAGAGAAGGAATTACTTTTGTAATTGCTGATACACAGCAGTTACTGCAGTGAGGATAAGGCAACAGTAATTTTAATAAGCCTGGCAGAGGACATATCTGAGGCTCCCTTTCTATTTACCTCTGTCTAATGCAAGCAGAAAAATATAAATAGCCAGGGCTTTATCTCATGTTAGTTAACTGAGGGTTTGTAGATTTATTTATTTATTTTTAGTATCTTCCCGCTGCCCACTGAAGATGAAAGTAGTTGAAGGAATGGTGAAGGGCTGATCATTTTCAGTGATCTTTCCATCCTGGTGTGAAATTAAATGTTTGTCAGAGTTTGCTTAAGTGGGTAGTTGTTGTTTTTCTGTGTGTAAAAGGGGAAAATGCTCTCACATGTCACTGCATTGAAAAAATTTCGGACTGGCGGTTAGCATGAAGTGAAGTCTAGAGAGTCTGATGCGATAGCTCAAAGGTGCGAGTAGCCCCTCTTCCTTCTGGTGGTGCTAACTTCCACACTGTGGGTTCCAGGCTGGAGAGGAAGGGGAGGGAAATGATGACAAGGATCACTGTGCTTGCAGGCAGCTGCAGTTTTCTCACCCAGAGGTATACCTAGAATGAGGGGAGAAAATTTAGGGCCTTTGTGTATGGTGAAGTCAGGAAGGAAGGAGGAGTTGCCATTTTGTAAAACAAGAGCTGAACTCTTGCAGCTTGGTTCTAGCAAGTATTTTGCAGGGGTTACATTTAATTGGAAAGAATTGGATTGTTCTCTTGTATTATACTGCTAAAATTATTTTAAGGAGATACACAGTCACTGGCCAGGAAGGCACTAAATTGCTGTTGGTTGCTCAGAAAACGTGGAGCTATACATATGTGAGATAATTTCTCCCCTCTCCTCTGCTTGCCCAGCATTCATCTCTGCATTACGCAGTTGCACACAAAGTCTGGCGTTGCTGAGCAGTTCCTGAAAGATGTCAAAGACAGTATTGAGGAGATCATGAAGGACCTCAGCGCCAAGACCACAGGCATGGTAAGGAGGCCAGTGTATAGCGAGGGTACGTTTGGGGTGCGTGTGTTTCTCTGACGGCATTAACGACCCTGCGTAATGACCTCCTCTTCTCTGCTTAGGGAGCCATCTATGGAATGGCCCAGTCCGTCCCAGACAGGAGCTTGGTAGCGGAGATTTCTCAGGCGTACTTGGATGGCCTCTACAGCACGGATGTTCCTTGCAGTGAAAAGCACATGAACGGCTCTCCTGGCCACCACTGACTGTAGCACAACAATCGGTGCCTCGCCAGCTGGCACTGGGGTGGTTCTAAAGGCTTCCTAGGGGAAGAGATTGCAGTAAGCCTTTGTTCCTAAAACTGCAGGTCTGATGGCAGCTTGATCTTGAAAACTTCCTTCCCCGTCTTAGTCTGTTCTTAAATCCACGTTATTTTCACGCCCAACTTCAGTTTTAGGGCTTTTCTTCCCTTTCCCCTGCCTATTTTCATCATGACTGTTGATGGTGAATTGAATGTCCATTCCACAACTTCAAATTCCTCAGGTATTCTGCGTGTCACTTCATTCCTTGCTGTTTCTTCTCCTCAGACCTGGTATTCAGATGGTGTCCAGCCAAGTGTTAAAGATTTGAGTTCTTGTGTTGTGTTCCAAAGCTTCAATCTTCCCAGAAGTTGAAGGTAGAAAATAAATTGAAAATTTTGTTTTCTTCTGAGTATTCCTCCAAGCTACTGCATTTAACAGACTGTGCTGGGAGCCTTATATCTCTGTAATGCAGAGCCGATAAATTGGCAAAGGAAAGATGGTCATGTACTCTCTTTGAAATCCCCTCTGGAGATCTCAGTGAGACTGCAATCAATATCTGCTGAGGGGGAAAAGAAAAAAAAAAAAAACCAACACAAAATCCTTTTCTGGAATCTCTTGGTTTGAATAACAGCAGAAATAGAAACCAAGCGGGTGGTGTAGAGAGAGGAACTGGATGGTACTGAAAATCCTAGGTACGTACTAACTGTTTTGCTTCCCTGCCTCTTCTAAAAGACATGCATTTACCACCTAGAGTGCTTTTGTCGTACCTTGCACAATTCTGGAGGGAAGTGCAAAACAGTGATTTCACTGTTCATAACTTGAAGGTTTTGCACTATCTCACAATGCTGTAGCAGAGTTGGTCGGGCCCTGGCGCATGGCATGACTAGGGACTTCATGTGCAAACAGATGGCGCCAAAGCTGACCTTTTTTTACCATGATCTTTTAGTATAAAAAGGTGACTTTTGTAACAGTAGTAATCTCTGCTCTTTGCACTGATTCTTTTAAGGCACATTCTCAAAAGGGCATTCACCATTGTGCCTTGATGCTTCTCTGGCTTTTTTTTTTTGTGGGATGCCAGGGAGGATTTGAGGGTTCAGCTGTTGACCGCAACCTTTGCTGCAGTTGTTTCCTTATGGTACTATACTGAAAAAATAAACCTCAAAGGCAGGCTGGCCTCAGAGAAAGTTCACTTGCCTGGAAGGTAGAATAGCAGTTATATTGAGCCAAGTCCCTTCACAGTATTACAAAGATGCTGGTATAGTTCTGAGAGGTAGACGACAGGATGCAGCAAGCTGGAGGTATTCAAGCCTTGGGCATATGGCTCATCCTTCCTATGCTCTGCTGTTTTTAATGGTGAGAGTTTTCCCAGTGCAGCTTGTGAGGCAGTTGTGGCCTTAAGGACAAGCTAGAATGTCTTGAGTTATTAAATAGTGGTGGAGTCACTCCTGCAAGGCTCTCCCATGTGTTTCCTCTCAGCTTTTTGCATGCTACCGAGGGCTTCCCAGGCAGAGTTCAACACTCAGGAGAAGACATCGTGCCACGTTTGCAGTGTCTTGTAAAGGGTGCCTGAAGGCATCTGTCTCTGCTCTAGCGGGCTTCTAAGCCTGAAGCTGACCCTCACTGGCTTAACACCGCTGAAGCACACAACTTGCACAATATTTAAACCGAATGAGAAGGTTACTTTTACTAGCCACTGCATAAACCAGTGCATCCTTGGGCCTAGTGATTGTGGGGAGGATTCTTGCTTTTTAACAGGTTTATTTTCAGTGCTAGGAGACAAAAGTATTTTGACCATCTGCCCTTAAATCGATGACTTTCTGCCTGTCTCTGATAGTCTCTTGGTGGTGTTACCAGCTCTGGCAGTCAGCATTTATGTTGGACCTATTTATTCTGCAAACGTCTTGCCAATGTGACCATTGCTGCCTCTCTTGAGTTTGCTGTACTTTGGAGACAGTCTTAAGTGTCTGGCTACTGTGATGGTTCTCTTTTGAACCGGGATTTTTAAAAAAAATGCAAAAAAGGGAGGTACTCTTTTTGTTTCTGCTTTAAAAGAAAAGGGGGGGATGGATTGGGATGGGTGTAAGGAGAGAAAAACTCCCTCCTCTTCCCTGGTTGCATTCTCCTCTGAGGAAGTAGATGGATCTAACAGATCAGTGCTCCATTTCACATTTTTTGGATGTATTTGAAGTTGTTATTTGTAAGTCATTGTATTCTGTTCTGGGTTTCACTTACTAGTAGTATTTGTGGGTTTACTTTTTTTATGTGTATTTGTTCTATACTGTAAATGTAATCTGGTCAGACCGCTGTAATTTACTGGTGTGTAGTCTTCATCCTTGTCATCTAACGTCATCTGCATCTCCTTTATCATGCCAAATGGTCTTAGAAAAATGATGTGATTAACAGGCTGTATAATTATTTAAAAGACAAGAATAATTTTATGGACTGGATTATGATCTGGAACTGGATGGTACTTTAGACCTGGAGGGATTTTTGCAACTATTAATTCCTGCAAGATTTCTGACTGTTGGGTTTTCTGAGGAAGACACTAAATCTGTTGCTTGTACAAAGCACTCCCAAGGGATCTGCGTGCTCGTAGGTACTAGACTGAAGAATATCCAGTGGGATGGACCAAGAAGAGATGTGTGTCTTCATGCCATGGATTTCATCTGCACTTTTCTGATGACCTGGGGGAGGGAGGAGTGGAAGGGTTGCGTACAACACAGTAATACCTTGCCCAATAAATTCACATTGACTTTTTAATGAACAAATGGGACGAGTTTATCTGATGGCAGTATTCTGTATTGCTCTAATTTGCCACTGTAAAACTGTAGGCTGAAATAGCCGAAGAGATGGTGAAAATGGGTCTAGTTTGTATTAAAATTGGTGCATTTAGCTATCTAGGCTCATTGAACTCTTATTTTTCTGTTTCAGTGTTGATTTGATTGAATGGGGACCTATTGCTCCTGGTCTCTGCTCATGTGCAGTCTAGTCTGTGGCAGGGGGGGATGCTTTTATGAACCTCACTAACTCTGCCTGAGGGCTGCTCTTTCATTCTGTCAAGATAAAGGTGATGTCTGTGGCTGTGTCTTGCATGCAGTGTTCAAGGATGCTGAAAATTGTCATTTAAGAGCTATGGATTTTCTTTTAATACTTTATAGAACTTTAAAGGCTTAAAAAAAAAGGACCTGAACTGGGTGTTTGTAGTGTTTCTCCCAGACTGTTTTGCTGAAAGCAACTACTGTGGGTTCCACAGCAAAGTGTACCAAAAATGCAGCAGTTTGACTGTAGCCTTCCTGAATGCCGAGATCATTGCGTTGCTGGAGTTAAGATTTTACACCACCAAATCCACCTACAACCTCTTTTGGGAGGTATTCCACTGTTAGCAGCCCCTGGCCTGTTGCTGTGCTGCTTTTGTGCCTTTTGGTTGTGCCTACTCGGTGTTTGTGCCTTGGCTATGGTACACTTCTGATTTTAGCACAAGCAGTTTTTTATCTGATCAGATCTGGCTTTGATAATCTCATTCTCTTTCAGACCCCGTGCACTTTGAGGTGCAGACCTGCGAAGGCACATGTCATTTCTCCACTCTGCTTCAGCAAGAAGCTTTTCCGTGGCAGAAGCACCTTCTTGAGAGCAGTCAGGCCAGTACCTGCCTTGGGAAAACCTGCAGGTATAATTTTGACTGTGAGGCCACCTTCCAAACTGACATCAGGCTAACCAAGATTTTTATTGTAAACATTTTCAGTTGGTATCCTACTAAAGACTGGTTACAATAGGGGTGAGATCACATGCCTGCTTATAATACTGCTAGAGAAAGGTTACAGTAATAACCAAATTGCACATTACGCTTGCTAGTATGTTACAGAGAAACCAAAGGGTTGATGTACCATGTTTCTGATAGAAAGCACATTCCAGCAGGTAAGAAGTGATAATACAGTGGCTGGATGGGGTCAGGCCCTGGAAAGATTTACTGGTGCAGTGTGTAACATGACTCCTGGTGAAAGGGCAGGTCTGCTGAAGGCCCCAGAGACACAGCTAACGAAGGGTTTAAGAACGGAAGCGGCAAGATCAGAGATGGATATATGCCTGGTGCCCAAGAAGTGCCTCCATCCATCTGAGCTGTGGCAGGGAGTTTGGCATGGCGTTAGGCAGTCTGGATCCAGGAATGACCTTGGAAGCGGGAGAAAGCTCTAGGTGCAGCCGTCCAGGCAAGACATGGGTTGTGGCAGCGGCAGAGTTGATTTTTGGCTTCGTGTGTGTGTCTCTAGTCAGGAGAGAGAAGCTGCAACCTGCTCGATGAAGCTGGCCAAGTTGATGTCTCGCTCCGATAAGCCTCCACACTCGTGGGTGCTCAAGGTGATGTGAACCTAAACCAGACAGACAGACAGACCAACCAAGTGTTGCTGGCAGAAAGAGCAGGAATATTTTCCTCCAGTGCTGCAGACAGTTTGCATGTGATGAGACAGTTAGCAGTATGACTTTCTCCAGACTTGGTAGCAAAATTTCCCCAGGTGGGAGAGGTGATCTGGCACTTTGCCTGGTTATCTCTTTCCTACAGCTCATCCTGGCCACGAGCTGTCCCTGCTACCCCTGCCTTGGCCACAGCAGCCAGCTGTGCTCACTTTCTAATTCCTTCTCCAGAAGCTTTTTGCTCTGCTGCTACTTCTGATACTGATTTTAAAAAGCAACCCTGGTGCTGGCCTATAGGCAGCTACTGCTCAGCTGGACAGGTAAAAGAAGGGGGAGGAAAGGATCTGTAAGCTATAGCTGCAGGCTGTCTGCAATATGCTGAGGGAATAGCATCTGAGGGAGGAGACCCTGCTGATCTGAACGGGACTTTCTGCTGCTGTTTTATGCCTCAAAAAAGGCATCTCCTCCCTGAAGAGCTCAGTTTGCCCTCGCCATCCCTGTTTCTTACCTTATTGTACACATTGAACCATTCAGGGTGGTGATCCAATTTTTCTGCTTGTAGAGCCACTCTGGTCATGAAGCCAAAGGCCTGCCCAGTGGAGTGAGAAGAAAAGTTAGTTCTGAACCACTTAGTTTGTGATATATTGTTTTCACCCTGTTGCTATTAATTTTACACTGCAAATGTCTAGGCAACCCAACCAAATGCAAGGCTTGGGATGTTCTGTATCTTTGTTAGCGTTTTCTATGAGTTTTCCCCTTTTGTGGAGCTTCTCCCAGACACTTTGGTTTCTTGGACAGGTTATCTTGCTCAGCCATTACATTTCAGGAGAAACACAGAGGGGTGTCTTTGGCTAAGCATTGCAGATGGGACCCCCTGCTCTGCAAACCAGCTCTCCTGCTTTGTAAAACTTGGTAGCACTGGTGCTCGTACCCGGTTGAAGTCCTTGAAGTGGAACTCTTTGAAGATGGCGTCTCTGCCTTCTAACTCATTCCACCCCACGGCTCTCAGGTTTGGCAGCAGTTGCTCCCTCTCCTCTGCGCTCAGCCTGTGGGCTTTTCCTGCCTGACACCACAGAAAGGAGAGGGAAAGAGGGGAGCAGATCAGATCAGTGTGGCAGAGGTAGGATGAAGCAGATGTTCAAAGTAGTGAGGCATCTTATGGGTCATGGAATAATGGATCTGTGGGGGCAGCTGCAGGCTGGATGGGAGGGTTAGAATCACACAGAATTGGGATCATTCAGGTAAGAGAACAACCTTGGGATCATCAAGTCCAACCATAATGTGACTACAAAGTTCTCCATCACATCCCCCAACATCTCATCCAAACAACCCTTAAACACCCCCTCCCTGGGCAGCCTATTCTCCTCTCTGATCACTCTTTCTGGGAAACATTTTTTCCTCACGTCCAGTCTAAACTGCTCCTGTTGCAGTTTAAAGCAGTTCCCTCCTGTCACTAATTCCCTGTGAGAAGAGCCCAGCCCCAGCCTCTGCAATGTCCTTTCAGGGAGCTGCAGAGAGTGATGAGGTCTCCCCTCAGCCTCCTCCTCCTCACACTGAACACTCCCAGCTCCTTCAATTGCTCCTCACAGGATTTATTCTCCAGGCCCTTCCCCAGCCTTGTTGCCCTCCTCTGCACTTGCTCCAGCCCCTCGAGATCTCTCTCGTATTGAGGTGCCCAGAACTGGACACAATACTCAAGGTGTGTTAAGAGTGTGTCTGCAGACGCAAACCGGGGAGTGCTGATGATAGGGGATATCGATGCTGTTCTCTGCTCCCCTGCCCTGGGTACATCCTGCATGTACCTAGGTCAAGTGAAGTCCAGCTTGTCGCTATCGTGCTCTGACCAGCAGCACCTACCACTTTACCAGTATGTATTCATAATGACCTGAGGTACTAAGAAATGATGATTGTGTGAGGTTAAGCTCCCAAATACATTACATATAATTTTCTGGGAGAAAAAAAAAAAAAAAAACAACAAAAAAAAAACCAACAAACCCTGAAGCTCTGTGATGGCTTCTAGAACTGAGAACTACTTGCTTTTGAGGTTCATGAAGTACCTTCCCAAAGCGGGAGCGCTTTATTTGCAGGTCATCTGCACTGGAAGCCTGCTTTAGAGGAGGAAGAAGTGGTGTGAATCAGAGAGATGAGTCACACTAAATTGGAGTTCAGCTCTTTTTCAATCACACTTAATGTTACAATGGAGTTTAAGAGGCTGTTTCTGTCGGTGAGTAACAAAAGGACAAAGGGAGGGATTGTGATTTAGTATTGTCTTCCCCTCTTGGGCAGAGCTGCTGTTACTTATTTTCTAAGGTGTGGGGGAGAACAGCAGTTCTTGTCTTTGGGGAGTGAATCCAGGCAAAGGCAAAACTAAAATGAAGTTCTTGGGGATGGAGGCTACCCGAGCCACTGTACCTTCTGGCTCAGTGAGGAAGACAGGAGTGAGTGCAGAGGGGTATTGCTCTATCTAAAAGTTATGTTTTGGCCATTAAGAGTTGGTGAGGATTGTTGTTTCTCAGTGATAAAGACCAACCTCTCTCTTCGCAATTTGTTTTCCTTTATGTGCTGTAGAACAAAGTGTGGCAAGCTAGTCATGAGTCCCAACAAATACGGCCCACTGTTTTGTGGGTGTTTGGTCAGCAGCCCCTTGAGATGTTTTGCTTGGACATCAGTGCTCAGAATTAGCATCTTACAGCTGAGCAACTAAGTCAGATTGCCTTTTCTTATAATTTACCTACTCACAGGCTGTACAAAACCAAAGAGGCAGCCAGAAAACTGATGGTTTTGTGGATTCTTCTTTAGTTGTATGTGTCTTGAGGAAGACTGGAAAGATTATGCCCTACTCCCATGTTCCTGGGTCTAAGGTATCAGGCTGTGTGGGTGCTACCAGTCTGCGTAGCTGTCACCCTTATGCTTAGAGCAAGCTGTCAGCTGCAGAGCGCTTAATGAAATGGAGAGTGCCAGGGTGCATGCTGAACCTTAGCTCAGGGGTGGCTGGGGATGGGGTGGTTCCTGTCCCTTGGCATTGCAGCTGCACGCTCTCCCTCTTGCCCAATGTTTGGGGAAAGCCTTCCTCGCCCGTGCGTGCTCTGGCCTCGCTGCTAGCGTGCAAACCACCTGTGCTGCCCTTCAGTCTGTGCAGCGTTTTGGATGGCCTCCTGCCAGTCCCGGCTCTGCCCCCCCCGGCTAACGTCACCCGCGGTCCTTTCCCGAGCTCTGCCTTTGGAGAGAAGGTAGTGAGTAAACACAGCTCGGTGCAATAAACCCTCAGCCGTTGCCCTTCCGAGCCGATGGCGTGATAAGCCGGGTGCGGGTAGCTTAGCAACTGGATAACGTGGGGACGGAGGCTGGCTCTGCATGGGGCCGCTGGCAGGGGGGCACCCGTGGGGGCTGCCCTTGGGGGGGCTCTGGTGGCAACGGGGTGGGGGCTGTGCCAGGTTTTGGGACCAGGGCTTGAAACTCCCTGCTCGTGTATCTCTTTACGCAGCTAGAGAGGAAAGGCTGTGTAAAGCCGGAGCTGCTGCTTGCCTGGAGCAGGGGTTATGGATGCAGGTCCTCCCCCGGGCAGAGCGAGAACCGGGCTGCTTGGGAGGGACGCGGCTTAATTGTTCTCTGAGCCCTTTTCCGCATCACAACTACATGGGAGGATGGGCCCCGGGGCTTTTTCCAGGCCCAGCTCCCCTCTTGAGATCCCAGCAACAGTGGGAGGCATGGCCAGGCTGAGGTTTGGCCAGCGGAACGCAGGGAAGCCAGCTCCTCCGGCTGTGTTGTGATAGCAAACCCTCTGCCCCGAGCACCCTCCATACCCTCCACCCCACTCCCTTCCCCTTCCCTCCTCCACCACCCCAGCACATCGGCCAGCCTGCTGTTTTTCTTAGTATGGCACGTTAATGCTTTTATGTGCACTTACTCCTTTAAAACACACTCTTCTCATTAGGGAAATTTAATTGTTTTGTTTTCTTTTGCTGGCTCTCAACTACCAAGGCATTGGGATTTTTTTCTTTTTTTTTTTTTTTTTTTTTTTTTTTTTTTTTTTTTTTTTCCCAGCAGGAAACCAAGTAGATGCATTGTGCAATTGAGGGAAAGGAACCAGCATGGGAAACTGGGAGAGCTTTGGGCTTTCTGGAGGTGAAATAACCCTCTCGACTCAAACTAACATCTTCACTTTTAAGGGGTGACTTGTCACCTAGGAGAAGGTAAAGGGGACAGCCCTGGCGTGAGCAGGACCTGCAGGCAGGGCTGGAATGCAGTATGCCACAAGGCCCACGGTCTTTGCTCCTGTCCCCTCTGCTGCGGTGAGAAAGGTGATTTCCAGGCGGCCAGGGTGAGTTGCGGGCCGTGCAGACAGAGCACGCATGGGGGTCATGCTCGCCGTGGGGCTCACGCTCGCAGCGCAGCCCTGCTGACGGGCCCCTTCCCTCCCCCTCGCAGAGGAGCCGAGCCTGGCGAGCCCTGCCTTTGGTAATTCGGCAGCAGCGGCCGAGCTCCCTGCGTTACTTATTAACCACAGCACAGAGCTCTCTGCTCCTTTCTCCCTCTCCTGCCTCTTCACAGAGGCCGGAGCTGCAGCTGAAACCTTCCTGCCCTGTCCTTTGCCACCGCCTGCAAAGCAACAGCTGGACTGCCCAGCAGCGACTTACCATCGCCCGTGGGTCTCCGTGGCCTCGGTCCCCGGTCCAGGCTGGGTGCTTCACGTTCTACCGTAGCCCGGTGGAGCCGTGGCTTGTCCGGGGCGATGGGAGGCGTGGCGAGGGAGCCGGGTCCACCCACGGCGAACTGATGCCCGTGCCTTTCCCAGCGCTGCCCGGCAGCGGCCACCCACCCGCGGGGCCCTGCGGGGGCTGGGGGGCTCTGGGGATGTAAAGCAGGACACTGAACCCCTGCAGGCCGAAGCGGTGATGTGTCCACCCCTGAACCACCCGCCCCTCTCATGTAGGGTCACTTTTGTAAGCTGTTGCACGGGGAGAAGGCAGAATGGGATGGAGAAGGGCAGTTAAAGCCGGTACTGCTGGATGCTGCTGGCAACACATGCGGTGAATGTGACGGTCGTCCTGGCTGAGGATATAGATTGTGCCTCCCAGCCCCTTGAGCTCAGCGATAACCACGAGCTGAGGGTTGCATTCGGGATTGTATCGCAGCACGTGGACCAAGAGACAGGGTAACGGGCAGAGTGCGTGCAGCACAACACTTCTGAGCATTTTTAAGGTGTTTTCTCCTGTTGCCGAGGGAACCGTGTCTGCACGGATGCCGCATGCCGCTCCTCAGAGTGTTTTTGCTCTCCAGGCCTGCAGGATTTGTGCCTATGTCCTGTAGCTCATCGTCTACTAAGCTCACTCACGTGATGGGCAATTTTCCGGTGGTAACAACAACGTTGTGCTGTGCTGATGTACGTGGTTAGACAGAAATTCAGCACCCTGCTATACCCTCATGGCTTTCTTTACCCCTGATCTGGCAGCTGATTCTGGAAATTTTTTAATGTAGTGTGACATCCACCCCTTGTATAGACTCTTATACATGTTTTGTTTTCCACTGTTGGGGTTCATGGGTGCCACAGAGATGATTTGTTTCTTCAGCAGGCAAGTTAAAGGGAAGCAAATTCTTCCTTTCCTTTTTTGCCCTCTCTAAATTTCCTTGCTATGGTAATAAAAAGGAAAAATGAGCATCTTTTGTGTCCTGGGAGACCCTGAGTGTCTGTCCAGGGTGAAATGACTTGGAGAGCACTGCAGCACTTGAGAAGAAAATAATTGTGTGCAGATATGAAGCTGGAAGCTTTGATATGGATGAGACAAGGGGGTGCACTGCATGGTTTCCAGCAATGAAATCAGGAGGTGGGATTGTTTGTAAGGTTGGGAAAGGCCAGCAGAATATTTCCTTGGCAGAAATTTGAATTGCAGGGCTGGCAGTTTCATCACCACAGCCCAGCAGAAACGGCCCTGTAAATAATGGTGTAAGCAGGAGGTAAAGGAAGCAATATTGTTGTGAAGTTGTGGGTGGAGCTATGGATACTGCAGGTAACAGCTATGTTCAGGGGATCTCAGCTGTGGTTTTCTCAAGAAAATGCAGTGGTGGTTTTGATGGTGACTTGTCAGGGCCTCAATTGCACCTTGCCTCTGTTGGCCTCCCTATTGATCGGAGATGGGGGAGGAAGCAAATACTCCCTCTCTTACAGTATCCCACTTTCCCTCTGTTGGATGTTGTTCCAGCACAGCTGGGAGCCGATCCTGTTTACTTTGCCAATACATCTACTTCTACTTCCAGTACTGAGCAACTGATAGACACCTCAGCTCATTAGAGGTGAGAATTTCTGTGGTTGGAGAGTATCAGGAGAAAAGCGATTAATTATACTGTGTCTACTGATTATCCAGCTCCTTTGTAATGGCATTTTCTCTCCTAGGTTATAAATCAAGCCTTAACTGCCAGCCTTGCATGTGAGAGATCTCTCACAGAGGGATGTGCTTTATGCTGAAAAAGTGTCATCAGGGCAGTTGTGATTTTCCTCCGTCTGTGGTGTGAAATTGTGGCTGGGGGGATCCTTTGGCTGATTCTGACTCCTGAACCTCTGAGTGCATGAAACTCCCCCTCTGCACAGTTTTATCTTCTCTTTTTGAGATGGGATCTTTTAGATTTGCTTTTAATGATTGAGTGATGTTGGGCAAGTTGTTTGCTCAGAGCAGTTTGCAGCCCCATGCAAGGAGGGGCTGGGATCAGATTTTTGTTCTTTTCTCCCTTTTTGTCTAGTTTAGAGCTGTGTGTCTTTTGGTGAGGCCAATGGCAGCTAAGCCCCCATCTGTACATTGCTGTTACGTACCCACAGGGACTTCTCCATATTTACAGGGAACTCTCATATCACTCACCTACTCTTATTCTTATTTTGTCAGTAAGTTTTTCACAAAATGTATCTGACCCTGAAAGCTGCTTTGGTTGACAGCCGTGCACCGTCTCCCACCTCGAGGTTTGCTTTTTGAATTCACCCCCTTTCTCATTTCATGCGCCCTGAAACATTTTGATGGTCCCTTTGAGGGAAGAGGGGACACTAGCTTCCTTCTGTGACAGCGCTGGCTGCAATGTGTGACTGCTCGCGATCCCACGAGAGATGTGGAGATCATGATCCTTGCTGTTGCAGGAGGCTAGAACTCTCCAACACAGCGACAAGTGGCTTTTGGTGATTAGACTTTTTTGTTTGTGGGTTTTGTTTTTGTTGGTTGTTTTGTTTTGGTTTTTTTAACCTCTGTGTGGTTTGATTATTATTTTTTTTAATTTCCTTCTCTTTTTTCATTCCCTGTAGTTTGTGCTGGCTCCTCACTTAACAGTGTTAAAAATGTGCTTAGTGTCATCTTCCTGCTGTTGTGCTTTTGCAGGCATCCCTTGGGACCTGTGGGGTTAGCATTATCCTGGTTCAAAACATGGTAAATTCACTCTGATTTTGCATCTTGGACCCTCTCACAAGGCAAATGAGATTAACCAGCAAAGAAAGCGGTGGCTTCTGCCATCTTTGCTGCAATGCAAGTTTGCATTGGACGGGCTGTTAGCGGAGCTGCTGACTCAGCAGCGGGGTGTTTGCTGATGGCACTGACAGAAGGAGTCTTTATCTCAAGCAAGGTGCAGTTACAGGGCTGGATGTTTGTTTTATATTGTACTTTGGAAGAAGGGTGGGTGTCTTCCAGCTCTGCACGGGAGAGGCTTGTCTGTCACGTCCAGGGGACCCAGGGGAGTTACTAAATAGAAAATACACATCACGTGAAAATCTCCTGGGCTTGAAAGTAGGTGAAGGTAGAAAAAGGGAGAAGCTTCACCTGTGCTTGCATTTCCCAGGTCCACTTCTGACTGTAGCCAGACACAGGGTGTGAACTAGATCCTGTGTCAGGATGCCCCTGCTCCTTAAAGAAGGCCTTCAGACAATCCTGATTGTGCTGTTAGTTTGCTTCACCTTTAACTGATGCACCTGGCTCTTCTTCAGGCCTGACACCATCTGCCCTTTCTTCTTCCCACTATTTGGGAGGGAGAAGGGCTTGCTAGGGTTCACCTCTTCTCCCTGAATGGGGAGGCCCAAGGCAGGAGGACTGTTAGTAACCTACAAGATGGGGGAACAGATTTTTGCCTGGTCGGCACTGAATTGTCCATGTATTTATGGCTTTGAGGTTACTCCTGTGATGAGCCTGAAACTCATGGATTCTGGGCAGGGGGAAACAACTGCTTAGTCAGCAGGGAAACAATTAACCAGCTGCAGTGCCTCAGGAATTCACTGGGAATACATTTTCCGAGCTTGCATCCATGCTAATGGCATTTGAGCAAGTAGCAGCTTGGGATAGGGTCACGATCCCCTGGTGAACCTCAGCGCCCAAAGGGTGTTTTAAGCCAGGGCAGACCAAACTTTTTCATCATTGACTACTCTGTTACTATCTGAAGCATTGCTCTTGTGGCACAATAGATTTAATTAAGGAGTTTGTTTAGCACTGGAGGGGATTTATGGCAGTTGTGACAAGTTTAGGTTGACAAAAGGGTCCAATAAATAGAGGTGAATCATTAATTATTCCTGTGTGAGACTTCCTCTTGTAGCTCCGTTTTATCAAAGTCAGCGAGGGCTGGGAATTGGCCTCAGCACAATGAACAAAATAAATCAGACTCTGGTATAAATGGGGGCTTCTTTGGTCTGCTCACAGGATGCTTAGGGTAAAGGGCCTTGATGTCAGGCAGTGTGCAGGTACCCCTGGAGAAGGCGAGATTGAAAAAAATGGCAATAAAAGTGGCATAACCACTTCTAATGCATAGAAAACATGAGTACCAGAGTGGGAGACAGCTGTGCAAGATGGTGGAATATCATAGCATCTGGGAGTGAAGAAATGTTGCACTGAAGGGATGTTTCCCAGAGCAGGAGGAGGATGTGTACCTGAGTGCACACTGCCACGGATGCTTTCTCCTGTGTCATACTGGTGCTGGAGGAGACAACCCATTGCTAGCTGGTTCACAGAGACGCCTGGCATGAATTAGATTTGAAAACTTGAGCTGGGCCAGAATAATGCTGCTTTGACTCTGTGTTTGTCCTTGAAACCAAGTGGCATGACAAAAACAAGGGCCATGGGCTCTGGCAGCTAATGTACTCCTGTGCCACAAGTCTTGTCCTCCAGGTCCCCAGCAGTTTGCTCCACAGTCCATTCTAGATGGTGGTGGGATCTCACAGTTTGCTGCCCTGCCAGGGCTGTTCAGTTCCCTGAAACAGGGTGCATTTTCCCTGGGGGAAGGTAATACATCAAAACTGCCTTCTCCCCACCCCTCGTTTTGTCCTGCCTGCTGATGGATTAATCCTGTAACTCAGCTTCCCTGGGCACTGTCTGGAGTCTTGTGCAAAGGAAGCTTCTTGTATTCAGATTGCTTTTCAGTCCAAATTTGAGTTTCTTTGCTAAACAGGTTGGATTTTCTGGCAAGTGTGCAGGGGTTGCGGAGGGTGAGTATCTTGACGGATCTGGAAAGCTTTCTGCCATCTTAAAGAATAAGTTTTGCTCCTTGTTTATGCGGGGAGAGTTGGGCGCCGCATGTTAAGCGGCTGTTGTACAGCCACGTCTTGTCACTAGGGGTCAGGAAAATGCTGAGAAACGGGAGAGCTCCCTGAAACCGCAGCCCCTGGCAGGAGGGCACAGGGTTGGGGCTCTCGGTCTGATCCCGAAAACCCATCTGATCCCGAAAACCAGGAGTGATTGCTGACATTATCAGCTCAGCTAAAGCGGCTCTGCAGCTGGACCTTCACGACCAA